CCTTTTTCATTTCTAATTCTGTTGATTTGAGTCTTCTCCCTTTTTTTCTTGGTGAGTCTGGCTAATGGTTTATCAATTTTGTTTATCTTCTCAAAGAACCACCTTTTAGTTTTATTGATCTTTGCTATCGTTTCCTTCATTTCTTTTTCACTTATTTCTGATCTGCTTTTATGATTTCTTTCCTTCTGCTAACTTTGGTTTTTTTGGTTCTTCTTTCTCTAATTGCTTTAGGTGTAAGGTTAGATTGTTTCTTTGAGATGTTTCTTGTTTCCTGAGGTAGGATTGTATTGGTATAAACTTTCCTCTTAGAACTGCTTTTGCTGCATCCCATAGGTTTTGGGCCGTCGTGTTTTCATTGTCATTTGTTTCTAGGTATTTTTTGATTTCCTCTTTGGTTTCCTCAGTGATCTCTTGGTTATTTAGTAGCATATTGTTTATCCTTCATGTGTTTGTATTTTTTACAGTTTTTTTTCTGTAATTGATATCTAGTCTCATAGCATTGTGGATGGAAAAGATACTTGATACAATTTCAATTTTCTTAAACCTACCAAGGCTTGATTTGTGTCCCAAGATATTATCTATCCTGGAGAATATTCCATGAGCACTTGAGAATAAAGTGTATTCCATTGTTTTTTGTTGGAATGTCCTATAAATATCAATTAAGTCCATCTTGTTTAATGTGTTATTTAAAGCTTGTGTTTCCTTATTTATTTTCATTTTGGTTGATCTGTCCATTGGTGAAAGTGGGGTATTAAAGTCCCCTACTATTACTGTGTTACTGTCAATTTCCCCTTTTATGGCTGTTAGCTCTTGCCTTATGTATTGAGGTGTTCCTATGTTGGGTGCATAAATACTTACAATTGTTATATCTTCTTCTTGGATTCATCACTTGATCATTATGTAGTGTCCTTCTTTGTCTCTTGTAATAGTCTTTATTTTTAAGTCTATTTTGTCTGATATGAGAATTGCTACTGCAGCTTTATTTTGATTTCCATTTGCATGGAATATCTTTTTCCATCCCCTCATTTTCAGTCTGTATGTGTCCCTAGGTCTGTAGTGGGTCTCTTGTAGACAGCATATATATGGGTTTTGTTTTTATATCCATTCAGCCAGTCTATGTCTTTTGGTCGGAGCATTTAATGCATTTACCTTTGAGGTATTTATCGATATATGTGTTCCTATTACCATTTTCTTAATGGTTTTGGGTTTGTTATTGTAGGTCTTCTCCCTCTCTTGTGTTTCCTGCCTAGAGGAGTTCCTTTAGCATTTGTTGTAAAGCTGGTTTGGTGGTGTTGAATTCTAGCTTTTGCTTGTCTGTAAAATTTCTCCGTTGAATCTTAATGAGACCCTTGGTGGGTAGAGTAATCTTAGTTGTAGGTTTTTCCCTTTCATCACTTTAAATATGTCCTGCCACTCCCTCCTGTCTTGCCGAGTTTCTGCTGAATGATCAGCTGTTAACCTTACGGGGATTCCCTTGTATGTTATTTGTTGCTTTTCCCTTGCTGCTTGTAATATTTTTTCTTTGTGTTTAATTTTTGATAGTTTGATTAATATGTGTCTTGGCATGTTTCTCCTTGGATTTATCCTGTATGGGACTCTCTGTGCTTCCTGGACTTGATTGGCTATTTCCTTTCCCATATTAGGGGAGTTTTCAGCTATAATCTCTTCACATATTTTCTCAGTCCCTTTCTTTTTCTCTTCTCTGGTACCCCTGTTATTCAAATGTTGGTGCTTTTAATGTTGTCCCAGAGGTCTCTGAGACTGTCCTCAATTCTTTTTGTTCTTTTTTCTTTATTCTGCTCTGCAGTAGTTATTTCCACTATTTTATCTTCCAGGTCAATTATCTGTCCTTCTGATTCAGTTATTCTGCTATTGATTCCTTCTAAAGAATTTTTAATTTCATTTATTGTGTTGTTCATCATTGTTTGTTTGTTCTTTAGTTCTTCTTGTTAAACTTTTATTGTATTTTCTCCATTCTGTTTCCAAGATTTTGGATCATCTTTACTATCCTTACTCTGAATTCTTTTTCAGGTAGACTGCTTATTTCCTCTTCATTTGTTAGGTCTGGTGGGTTTTTATCTTGCTCCTTCATCTGCTCCATGTTTCTCTGTCTTCTCATTTTGCTTAACTTACTGTGTTTGGGGTCTCCTTTTTGCAGGCTACAGGTTTGTAGTTCCCATTGTTTTTGGTGTCTGCCCCCAGTGGGTTAGGTTGGTTCAGTGGGTTCTGTAGGCTTCCTGGTGGAGGGGACTAGTGCCTGTGTTTTGGTGGATGGGACTGGATCTTGTCTTTCTGGTGGCAGGACTGCATCCAGTGGTGTGTTTTGGGGTATCTCTGAACTTATTATGATTTTAGGCAGCCTCTTTTCCAATGGGTGGGGTTGTGTTCCTGTCTTGCTAGTTGTTTGACATGGGGTGTCCAGCACTGGAGCTTGCTGGTTGTTGAGTGGAGCTGGGTCTTAGTGTTGAGACAGAGATCTCTGGGAGAGCTCTCACCAATTGATATTACATGGGTCCTGGAAGTCTCTGGTGGTCCAATGTCCTGAACTCGGCTGTCCCACCTGAGAGGCACAGGCCTGACACCTGGCCAGAGCACCAAGACCCTGTCAGCCACACGGCTGATTTATAGTGCTGATGGGTAACCTGGTACTTTGGCTACCGATAGCCAATGAGAGCTCAGCGACTGACTTGTTGTAGCACTATATACTGCAGTACCACTGACAGACACCAGCAGGAGGAAGAGAATATGAGCTCCTTTGTTTTCTTCTCCTGTTTGCTTAATACAGTTTCACTTGCTCACAGGGTGCCGTGTACAGAGGTCTCGCCCTCGGCTTCAAACCAAAGATCCTTGAGCGAAAAGCTACACCCAATACCTCAGCTCACAGAAGTGCTGTGGAGACACTGCAATTCCAGCTTCCAGCTTAGTGCTTTTTATCATTGGAGTGTGTGCTTGGAAGTCAGAAAATCTTAGCTCCCAACCCTAGCTCTGTTCAAATTTCGTCAACTTTAGCCTTTTCATTTGTTACATGAAAAATATAAATTCTCCCTCTTATGTAGAGTTTTTTGAAGATTACGTGAAGTAATGTGCAAAAAGGGCCAAATAAATTGCCTGGCACTTAAGTGCCAGAAAATGTTATCTCTCTTCTTTAGTTTACTCGGAATAATTGCTCATTAGATGTTTGTTGATTGTTTTGCCTTAGGTATTAGTCCAAAGCAGAGGGAGATGATAAAGTTAGGCTGAAACTCTGCCGTCTTCTCTCACATTGCACTTGCCCGAGAGGAGAAAACAGGATGGGTTGATCTTTTTCTATTCACACTCCCCTTCCGAGCTCTAAATTTTCACTATCTATTTAATAAAACAAATTCACTGAGTATCTACTCTGTGAAAGTTATTGGGTTAGATTGTGTAGTATAAGAAGTCTGCCCAATACACTGAGAAGGGGAATGAACACAGTTTGAGATCACGTTTTCAAGCTTTCTGAAGCTCAAATCAGGAAATATGACCTGACAAATACCCATGTGCTTTGAAGGGTGCTGAGATAGTCTGTTTGAAATTGATTGTCATAGAAATGAGAACAGAATATATATAAGAGGGTCATTTTCTTCCCGGGTTCCTGTCACATCCACTTCACCAGCCAATTCCTCCTCCTTGGTCAAATATAAGCTCTTTTCGATTGTCATTTCCTCTACCTACTGGGAAATGAAATTGTCAGCCACATACAAATACATTTAATATCAGAGCTAAAGTGATATACATGCCTGAGGAGAGCTGATGGACATATTCCTACAGGAATTCAGAGACAAAGAAGGTACCTGCAGCAGCCTCTTTGCTTTCCTTGTACACTTTTCCCTAAACCCTTGCTACCCAGGGTTCTGGAAACATAAGCTTTCTCACGAGTTGGAGTGTAAGTTGGAGCAAGGTCATAGAAAAATTGTGAATAACACTGTAGATCTGAAGTGATATCACTTTTACAAATTGTCATTTTTTACAATGTTTGATTTAAAGACAAATGTGGTTAGAATGGGACCGCAAATATCTTTCTCCATGGTTTTCTGGTAGAAAAAAATACGTCTTAAATGCAAATATTTTCTGAATTCTTTAAAAACATTCTAATTGAACATTGGTTGATTGCACACATGCCAAGGCATCCCTCATTTTAAGTTAACCAGAATTTCAAATTAACCTGCTTTCTTAGCTTGTCTGTATTGTTTGCTCAAAGGAAAAAAATTAAAATAGGTTAAAATGGGTTTTTTGACAGGCCTGTAACATAACATGGCAAATATAGATTTAAGACTTCTTTGGATCAGAGGTCAAATAAAGTCACTACTTGGTCCCTGTTATGGACTGAATTGTGTCCCCACCAAATTCATATGCTGAAGACCTCCCTAGCCATCATTGTGATCATATTTGTTGATAAGCTTTGGGAGATAGCTTTGTTGATAAGCTTTGGGAGGTCGTGAAGGTGGGACTTTCATGATGGAATTAGTACCCTAATATGAAAATACACCAGAGAGTTTGCACGTCCTCTCTCTCTGCCACTTGAGGGTATAGTGAGAAGGTGGCATCTGAAAACCAGGACGAGGGCTCTCACCAG